GTCGGCGGACTGAGCCGGAGGCTTTCAAGTTTCTGAAACTAAGCTCCACATTGGACCTGACCCATCTTCGCACGACCATCTGCGCATCTGGATGTTTGCAGAATTAAGGTCCCCACTTCGACGTCGACCCTTCTACAAAACATCAGCCCAAAGGTTGACTTGACTAATTTCTACAATTACTGTTTGTATCACCATTGCCATGAACCGTTCTTACTATGACCACTACTGGCACTAAGTCAGTGAAAGAAAACCAGTTCGAGAAACTCTCAAGCCCCTCGCGAAGCCTCCGCCATGCCAGTTCGCTCGGTGCTCACAGCTACGACGTCGCCAATGAGACCTTACCGTCAGACGCCGTGTCAGTGAGGCTCATATACGTGAGTAGGCACAAGCACAGTTGCAAGTGAGGTGAACCTTCTCGCCATGGGCAAACCTTGCCCTGAGTAGACTCGATGACGTCATGGAAGCTTCACCGACTTTCCATCTTTGCAGGGATAGTGGGAAACCAAATTCCATGCAGCACGTCTTCTAGAATCCACCGGGACAGCGGCCGTTGTACTCACCGGAGCCTGCGGTGAAGAAGTTACCTGAACCAATTGGATGACTTTCAGACTGGAGTTGTCAATTTCCAAGCATGTTGTGTGCCTACTTGAAGGCTGTACATGCAAGAGGCTCTCCGACCCGTGGGCCCGGTCAAACTCACAGAAAAGTTCACCCCCTAGGGCCTTCAGTGTGCAAAATGTTGACAAAGAACGCATCAGGAAGAGCACTTGCGATAAACGTTTGGAAGTTACTTCGAGCATGAAACACTGAGCAGTGCTTAATCTTGGCTTCTTCGCAGCACCTGCACCCTTGAACAAGCCGAGAGGCAAATGCGAACCTCGGAAATGAGCGCGGCAGAAGGGCTTTCTCTGGCTGGGCTGATACTGACAAGCTTAGGGAAATAGCATGACTGTTGCAATCCTGGAATAAGCGTCACAGCTTTGCATGTTCAATGAATCAAACCATGGCAGTGTCTATCATGACGCCAGGCGCTTCTAATAGCAACCCCGCTGTCCCCAGGCAACCTGGCATGCTGCTTCAGTGCTGTGGACTTGGGCGTTCGTGCTCTTTGGCAACATCACTCCTTAACACTAGTCTAAGGATCCATGATGAGGATCTTGCATGTCAACGCCAGTAATCTAGATCGCTACAAGCGAAACCCTGTCATCCAAGAAGGTCATGAATAAGTTCGACTAAGCCCAACTTCAAGTTGTAGTTTGCATAAATAGACACCAACATAGACTCCAAAACACTAGAATCCTCATTCTAAGGATCCCCCAAAGGTACCCTTCATCCAGGGAAGTCCTAAACCATATATCGCCCTATATATCCCCTTTGAGCCCCTTTAAAGGTACCCTTAAGTTTGGGGAACCCCCAGATTCTTGACTGAAAAGCCTTGTGAGCCACCAGCTTGCAGTGAAGCGGCAGGCATTCCAACACCCAATCTCTCTTCTGCCGCCTTGAGGCACGGGTTTCGGGTTTAGGGTTCCTCAACGGGGCTATAGTTACAGGAGATACATGGGGATAATCAATAGAAAGGAAGAGGGAAACTATTCATGACGAAGGGTTTAGGTGTTAAGGCTTTAGGGTTCTGAGAGACGGAGGCATAGTGGGTGTAGGGCTTGAACCAGGTGATGTTCGAAGTACTGGCACGTTTTACTAGTGGTTGTTTGGACTTGAGGCAAGCTCTGACATAATGGCCCGTACACTACGCCAAGAATTAGAGGGGTAAACTGTAGTCCTCATAAGGTACCCATGCAAATGGTCCTCATAATCTGTTCCTAGGGTCTCTAAAAGTATACTGCATCTTCTTGACAAACCCAAATCCCCACATGTGAGGTTGTCAACACCATGGTCCCCTTCTTCGGGTCCTAGTATACTCGTTCCCTAACTTGTGGTGCACCACAAGGGGACCATGATTTTGCCAACCTGAAACCCTAAACCCTAAACCTGAAACCCCAAACCCTCCCAGTGGGACAAGTGCCAAACCTCGGCTGCAGCATCTCCATCAAGGCCGCCTCAGGTTCCGTGAGGCCTTTTGGCACTTAGGACCCCTACTAAAGGTTAACCCTTGGGTACCTATAATTGGAATATAAGGGAAGGGTCTAAGGTCCAAGCTAAGTCCCAAGGGCATGAAGGAACCCTAGGGCTCCAAATAATCCTGCGGTCCTGGCGCAATGTAGGTATGATCTATAGACTTCAAGCCCCTTGCAGCCTTGCGAAAAGGCACATTATAGCAAGTTCTCCTTCGATGCAGTTCTCAGCACTAGCTGCCCACCAAAGGTGAGCCCCAACTCTCGGACCTTGAAAAATGGATGGGCCATGTCAAACACGTAGTTCAAAAGACTGGCAACTAAGTGAGGGTTTTCCCTGTGCTGACAACCTTCCATGTAAGATCTCAACCCCCCAACACCAGATGCAAGCTTCTGCGCGACAGGTGTTTCCACCTCCATATCACGGATGCAGGAACCCCCCCTTGTCGGGGCGCCAGAGAGATCGTGCTGTTGGTACGTAAGCACATTTTGCATGTTGATGTGCTGGCCAAAACACTTGCACTGAGGCCACCTGCACCGCCAACACCACCAGCACCAGCGCCTGTGGCAGGTGGTAGACGTTGCAAGCTGAATTTGGTGGGGAAGGGAGTGTTCAACATCCCCCTCCCACTTCCATGTCTACTGCATACTGATGTTAATGTTTCGGCTGGTATTATGGGTACTATCACGGCTATGCTTGGTACCATACCTCATAATCATCTGCGTTATTGCCATTCGCGCCTTTGCCCTTTCCGGCTGCCAGGTTGTTTCTCTTCATCTTCTCCAGAAGGCCTGCAAAACAGGGTCAGTAATCATCATGACAATGATGATGCTGGCCGAGAACCATAGCGCCTGTTGTCATCATGGCCGCAAGCAACGTCTGCAGAAGTCCAAGCAGCTTTCAGCAGCACAAGCTAGACTATATAATCCAATATGTACCCTATAATACAGAAATTTCCATTTTCTTTACCAACCTCCCAATGTAATCCCAATATAGGGTGAATCCGTCTATATATATATATATATATAGATAGAAATAATTTCCGCCCCCGCCCCCGAACGCTTCTGCGACCCGCAGCCTTCAGGTGTAGGCACCCACTGCTGCAACGGGCTCAGAGGCGGTTGGCCTTCCTGCAGCTGACACAAGGGGTAGTTCAAGTAACCACCATACCTGAAGTGTTCAAAGGCCTCAAAACGTGGGATGAAGGAAGGTGGGGTATAGGAAATATGACCCAAAAAAGTAGAGTATATACTAATGATCCTTCAACCCACCGACCTTCATCCCACCTTTTGAGCCCCCTAAAGTGTGGGGTAGCTTATATCCCCGGTAAGTAGATAGAATATGGGGTATATGGATCACAATATACCCAAAGCCATATTCTATCTACTTAAGGGGGACTATAGCCTAAGGCCAGCATGTTGCAGCGGTCGAGACGGCATCCTCTGGACGCCAGCCATTTTTCAAATCTTGCAGCAATGCAACAGTACGTTGTTGTAATGCGCTGTCGCAGCGGCGCAGGGCATCACCCTGGTGCCTATACACCACTCGCAAGGCTGCACCTACCCAAGTTCACAATCCAACACAACACGCAGTGCACCAAGCAAACTCCAGAACACCCGACCTAACCAGAAATCTGCATCCAAGACCTGAGCAATCCTTCCGTGAATTCTGAAAGTGCAGCAACGACACCCAGCCCGGCGGCAGCTGAGCAATCACAGGGTAGTTCGATCCTGATGTATGCAACTTTAGGCTTCACGGTGTCCAATGTTGTGAATATTCAATGAAAAGGTTCCGTGGTCTCAGAAGCCAACAAACCTGAGTCGGGAGGTGAGGGTATATGGGGATAGTGGAAAATGAGCTGGAAACTACTATAGTATAATGGGATGATATTGGGATAATGGGAAAGAAAATGGAAACAACTATTTAGGGCTGGGGTGTTCGTTCTACAGAGGACGCTACATGAAAGGTTTAACCTACATTAGGGAGGGCTGTCTGTACAGAGCTGCAATACAGGACCAACCATTTTGCCAGCTTAAAGAGGAGGGACACTCGTATTGCTGCAACTTGAGTTGGGGTAAACCTTAAAACCCAAACTCTAAACTTGAACCGTAAGTAGTAGTTTCCATGCTTTTGTCCAGTATCTCTAGACCCTATCTAATACATTCTCATGTTCCCTCCCCTCCGCCCCTATCTCAAAGGCTAGGTGGACCCAGGGCAAGCTTTAACGGAAGCGTGGTCAACAAGATACATGGAAGTCTAGAAATCTGATTCGCTTCCTGTACTTGTACCCCAAGCCCTCCGACCTGAGACCTTCCTTATCTGAGTTATAGTCTAAACTCCTCAAGAGCGCGGTATATAGGGAATTATAAAGGAGACTATTATAGGGGTTATTTAGGAGGATACTAGGAGTTTAGACTATAACCCTAATAATCCCCCATATAATCCCAGTTTCCATTTCATGTTCCATTTTCTTTTCCATTTGATTCTCCATTACAGGACTTCTTGAGGGGAATACTGGGGCTTATCTTAAAATTAGCATCTCTGGTAACCCGATCCCTTACCCCCGATGAGCTGTAGCTGAGACTCCGCTGCTCAGGAGGCCGCCTGAAGAATAAGAATAGGAAGCTTACTTCATTTGGGGGCACATAGAATCTCAGGTTAGGGTCTAGGGTGCAGGGTTTAGGATATGGGGATCCCCCATGTTCTATCTACTTCAGGGGGAAGTAGACTTCATCTGGGATACCTGGAGGTCTTCCTACTTCCTTCGGTCACAGAACATGTCCTTCCTCATCTCCTTGCCTTGAAGGCCTTGAAGGTTCACGCCTTACCTCCCCTGACCCCACACCCTCATGGGGTTTACATGGGGATGATGGAAAAGAACATGGAAACTACTATTTAGGGTTTAGGGTTTGGGGTTATATTCCCCCTAAGTACATAGAATATGGCTGTGGGTACATTGTAACAAGATCCCCATATACTCCATATTTCTATAATTTACTTGAGGGGGACAATATGCTTCAAAGCTCCAACTCAGGACCCTTTGGAATGAAAGGAAGATGCTGAGTTCAGGATGCCAGTCGCTGTACTGTAAGGGATAATGGAAAATACAATGGAAACTACCATAGTATGTTGGGGTTAAAAAGGGATAACGGAAAATAACATGGAAACTACTATGGTATATTGGAGATTGGAAAAGAATTGGAAATTACTATGTGATTTGGGAACAGACGTCAACGGAAGGAAGGATGTGGGTTAGAAAGCAGGGGAACTGCAAGTATAGCAAGAAGCAGGCAGTCCCAGTGGGCAATCCGTATGCGGCTTCTGACATCACTGCAGCCACTGTAGAGGGGCTATGTAAGCATGTGTTGCATTGTCCTTCCCTCGAAAAAATATCCCCCGCTTGGGTTCAAGAGAGATGCCGCTTAGTTAAAGGACGCGCCTGTGATTTTTTAGTGTCATCAAGCTCGTTGGTACGCGACTCCTTTTACATATGATTCTATGTATTGTGAGATGGATCCTGATGGGGTGGGGTAGGGTAGGATTTGGGGAAGACCTGTAAAGACTCCATATCAAAGGGCATTGTACTGGGAGGTTTTGGGGGGCCTGATTCAGGAAGCATTTGGGGACGGCATTGGAGATGTTAGGGAGGATCTAGATATGGGTGTCCCTTAACTATGTTTTTGGTCTTCTATTTGATGTTCCCTGTACCATAAACTTACAAGAAATCTGAGATCACAATATGGATCATGTTTCAGGCTTATTCCACATTACCGGAAGAGGTGAGCTCGAAGTCCCATAACGCTTTTGCTCTAACTAGTCCCTGGGGCTCCATGTCTATAAATAATACCTACATTGGGTCCCAATGTCTACAAATAGTACCTACATTGACCTATTTGGAGCCCTAGGGAGTGCTCTAAGTCTATAGATAATGTACCATCTTTGCGCCCCAAAGTCTGCAAAGATTGCCTGCTTCCGGCCATTTGTTTCTGCCCTGGGGGAACCCTAAACCCTACACCCAAAACCTAAACCGTAAACCTTTCTGAAATTGCCGCCAAAGGAGCTTGTGACACCTGGAACCGGGACGGCCGACTGCGGGAAGGGGCTTTGCGTAAGCGCCTTTGGCCAAAGGAGGGGAACATCGGACAATGGTCTAGAAGGGGAAATGTGGCATTGTGAGTAATCCTGCTGTTATTCTTACTATGATTGTCATTATAACTGATTATAACTGTTGTTACCGTCGCAACTACTGCCACAAGCAAAAGGCCTACAACGCACCTTTGCTGAAAGCTGATAACCATGAGGAGGTGGCTGCTGTACTGGATATGAGACTTTGCGGTTTGTTAGCAATGCAAGACCCTGGGAAGAAAACTCAAGGCAAGGACTCGCGACAAGCGTGCATGTACTGACTACAGATCCAAGGAACTGCATGGGTCTTGCGGTTAAGGTCCCTAGGGTTTAAGGTTTACGGGTAATGGAAGAGAACATGGAAACTACTACCAGTATAGTATAATATATGTACATATATATGTATATATGTTGGGGTTATATAGGCTCCCAACATCCACTGAAACTTGAGTCCGCCCAAGCTGCACACGACCATAGTGATAGCCCTCATAGACCCCTTCAACATGTTTTATGTGATCTCGAATTTGTCCCCAACGCTCTGCTGTGGCCGCATGACACCTTTGCTGCCTTCCACTCAAACTTCTAGCTCAGTAAAGCTCGGGGCAAGCCCGTGCAAACGTCTAGGGTTCAAAGTGTCCAAAACCAAAACCAAACTACACTGTTGAGCTCGGAAAGCTTGCCTGTGCTCCTCCCGCTACTTAACACTCTCACCCAAACTTGATCGGTTATCATTAAGAGATTGCCCGTCCGTCTTCCGGTCCATCTGCAGGCACAAGCCACAACAGCGATGAGAAACCAACATTCTCCTCACAAGTAACTTCCACTCCAGCTGAGCCGGCAGCTGGTGGAGGTGGATACAGCCTGCATCTGTCCGGGATGCAGGTGGGAATTGCGCTTATAATGTTTTGGGGTCAGGTGTTTTGCACCCTTTGCATAAGTCCCACGAAGTAGCGACAGCTCGAGGAGCTTGGAATCTCAAGCACGCATGAGGGCCCAATGCTTGTTGCGGCTACGTCGTTGAGCCTGTGGCCGCTGCTACGTAACTCCAAAACGTTAGAGACATTCGAGGCATGCAGGCTTCTCTTCCTTGCTCGTACCCCAAAATGGCAATAGTGATCTGCCTATTTCTCAAAACGGGCGTCCCCCTTGTGTCCCTTGAAAAAGTTTGGAAACCATGCCATCGGGATCAACTCATGATTCTTGTAGCCAAGGTGCTGCGGAGATGCCACCGCCATGATGACTCAAGCTTGGAGTTAGTAGTGATATGCGCTACACACAGAGACACCAAACATGCAGTCTCACTTGACTTCCTGTTGTCTGAAGACCTTTTGCGCTCGTGACTGGCTAGGGTGGTTTCTTGCACTCTGGCACACCCACATGCGACTCTCATTGAGGGTGTCTCACCCTTCCTGTTGTAGCGCATGGCTTCTCCAGCATGCTTGCCAGCTGTCGCGAGATTGAGCCACAGAGCGAAGATAGGCGACTTGTCTGATTCGATGCCACAGTATGAGCCGTAATGCGCTATGCCACAAGGGCATCATGGCCCGTAGCAAGATTGCCAGCGGACATCTGAACATGCCGAACTGCATGTCGTCTCATACAGCAAACTGTTGTTGATTCATTAGATGTTTGAAGCTCGAATTCCAAGATTCCTGCCTAGATCCCAAGATACTCTTTGCTGAGCCCAGCCTATGTCACATTATGGGAGTCAAGGGAAATGCAGGGTTTCCGCGCAATGGGCCGATCAAGATTTGTCAGCAATCAGTCCTACAATGACCTTTCCCACAAGGCATTCCTCCCCAAGCCCTGTTCCTGTAATAAGGGGATTTTGATAACCCCAACCCCCCCAAAATTAAGACCCTATAACTATAACCATCACATGATAATCATGAGGTCCCGATTTTCGGTGTTGGGGTTACCCAAAGCCTTTTATCCTGGAGCGCCTTGGCAAAATCCTTTTTAGTATCCTGGAGCGCCTGTCAGCCCTAAACCCTAAACCCTAAACCACCCTAAACCCTAAACCCTATTGGGTTTAGGGTTTAGGGTTTAGGGATAGTCCCCAAGCCCCCAGAACCTAGAGGCATGGCTCCACTGTGCACTGGTCATGGTGCTGATGGCATCAGGGATGGCCTAAACCTTATAACCCCTAAACCTCTAACCCCTACACTCTCCCAAACTAACATGGAAACCCATATAGTCCCCCTTGAGAAGGACTGTAGTCTTTACAGGGGCCTTTTTGGGTTTCCATGTTAGTTTCCGGGAGTGTAAACCCCTAATTCCTAAACCCCAAAACCCCAAAACCCTAAACCCCTAATCCCTAAACCCCTCTAAGTTGTTCAGACAGGAACCTGGGCCCTCTCCCCCCTTGCGTAACTGCTTAAGTCCCCGGCTTTGCTAGCTTGCCGACCTGGCGCTCCGAAGGGATCACAGTTACTTACTGGTTGTTAGTAGGGACTAATGGAATACATTATGTAAAGATTATTTAGGGATCATGTTCCCTTATTCCCTATTGAGATCCAGCAAGGCCAGAGAATCTAGGGGCAACGTGCATGAACCAGATGGTGTCTTCACTGGAGCCCAGGGAACAAAACCGTCTAGCGCTGGCACCGCTTCTATCTGTGCTGCAAGCATACCGGAAACCATCATGAAGCAAAAGTGTTCGGTTTTGAAATCTAAGGTGACGGGACCTCAAGCAACAAGTCTCAAGCTGCATAGGCTATGGGAGCCTGTAGCACAAAGACCTGCAACTCAATCCTGCAACTTAGACATCTAAGCTATCCGGCACGATTTGAGAAGTCCTTTAACAATACGACGTTAAACGGCTTTACCCCAACTTCTACACCCATACTCCTCGCAGAGTCAAACAAACACGGGAGCTTTCAAAGTGATCCAAACGCAGAACTCTACTCCAACCAGCAACTGCCGGAGGAATCCGTCCCTTGGTCCCCCTCTGCATGCCCTCACCATCCAAGCATAGCTCATATGATATTAGCTGCCAACACAATAACGACGAAGGACCAGCAATCTGTATGGAAATTTGACAGACTACTAAGTCAAGTGCAGCTATTGGGAGGGTCTTACAAACAGAATTATGATGGTGCTGGCAGCACAACAACCAGCATTAACCAGGGCAATGGTAATGGCACTTGGTGTTTGCTGAAACGTACTTCTCCAGAAAACTACTATTTTATTGCGGAAATTTGTGTCACTTTTTCGCACAACTGTCGCGGAGCCTGTTTCTCGAATGGTCAACCCGAGTATAACCGAAAGACAAGGACTTACACAAAAGTCCAATCCAAATTGCAGCAAGGGTTGTAATGGCCATCGCAAAACCCTAAACCCCAAACCCTGTAAAAAGGGGAGCCGGAATCCCGATCAAAATGCAACCCTCCTAGCTAAACCTGGAACCCTAAACTTAACAAGTACAACCCATGCGCTAACAGTATTAATAGTCACCACAAGCGGCAACCATATCTGGGCAGCTAAATATTCTATTGGGTCAAATATGTGGGGAGGGCGTTCTTCTAACCCTAAACCAATGATTTCTTGACTCTTTGCCTCTATCGGTGACTGGACCAATGCTGGCCTCAGGGGGATCATTATGAGAAATACCCTTGTAAGTTAATGAGGTGCTCCGTTTTGGGAACTTTGCTTGGAATCATGGGACATGTAGGGCTCATACGGCCTAGGGTTATACGGAATACAGTTCTGTGGGGCTCTCGCAGTCATGGGGAATGTAACGAGATTGGCGAGATTATGAAGGTTCCTCTTGCAAAACACTATTGGGATTGTTGGATCGGCCTCTGCCCACACCATCTAATCATCTGACCCCCAGTACTGGGTATTGAGGCCAGAATTGCGGGTAGTTGGACAGCCTAAGCCAATTACAAACATGTTGGGGTTGAACAGAACAGTCGGAACGCAAGTGTTGCTACGATTTGACTAATCCCAGTCTGGTAGATGGCCTTGCGCTTGATCTTGGTTCTACACGCTCAACCCGACTAACTGACTTGAGAGCGATTTAACAAACACAGCTAGCAATGAACGCTTTGTATTTCGACAGCAACGTGTAACAGGAAATGCCATTAAGATGGTTCTGGTGAACTTCCGGCTGAGGCTTGTAGTCGCGGTGACAGGCTTTCTTTATTATGATTATGAGTCTTGCTGAATTTGCCGCCCTTTTATTTGCACATGACCTTGAACAACGTGAGTATGTTGCTGTCATTGTTACGTTATCACATGAAATCCCTATTGAATCGAACACGGGGTTCCGGCGCAAGCAAATGGCTCGTGTCCTTCCACGTGTCGGCGAAGTACCTGCGCAACATCTGCAAAACAAAGAAGGTCGTCCAAGTGACAACTTACAAAGCCATCAGAAGATTATCGCCTCACAACCACTTCTCCCCCAAGCCCTAAACCCTAAACCCTACACCCCATGTATTACAGTAGTTTCCATTTTCTTTTCCATTATTCCTATATATCCATTGCCCCTATATATATACACCATATAATCCCTAAGCACCCGCAACCCCAAACTGTCTATCTCGTGCTTGCGCATCCTCTGCCGTCCTTGAAAGCTGGCGTTCTATAGGGTTTATATTGGGGAAAAATGGGGATAATGGAAAAGAAAATGGAAACTATAGGGATCATATGGTAATGGAAAAGAACATGAAAACTATAGGGACTATATGGTAATGGAAAAGAACATGG